CTCTGATCAGCCTCTACTGGTTTTAATACCAGTAATGCGACTGAGTAAAAGGCGCTGGGATCTCCTAGAGTCCTGCCTTTCCTTCCACTAGTGGAGAGAAGGCTTGGCTCAGAGAACTCCTGAGTGAATGGATTCTGTAAATATTGTATAAAATTATGCTCGAGTTTTATTTGTTATTTTGATCAGTTTAGTTCTTTTGTTTATATAGATTTACTTTTAGTATTATTTTTATTTATTGTAAATAGAGTGTGAATGTGCTCTCTGAACACTATTATAAATGTTCTTATATTTATAGTATTATAAAAACGGATTTGTCAGCTACAGGTGATTTATCAATTGAAATAGACAATAATAATGTAAAGCATCATGGAGCCATGTCCTGGGAGCTTGTTCCGAGAGAAAAGGCCATGAAATGTCGGAAAGAGGACTATGCAAGCAAATGAAGATGAGTAATACCATTATTACTCAAAATAGGTAAGAACTTTTGTCAAATGCTGAGGACAATGTGCAGTCAGCAACTAAGCAAGTCAATTTTAGAACCTTGCAAACACATTTAAATGATGTAAAAGATTATACAGCATATTAAATTATCTACACAGTGAATGGCCGGCCCTAATAGCTTTAGGCAGAAAACTACTACAAGAGAAGTTAGTGTTTATCCCGAGAGTGCAGATGTATATCGTTGGTTAGTCACAACTTGAAGAAGAAGTGGTGCTGATTATCACATCTTTCAGCAGTATGACCATCCCAAAATTTATTGTAACCATCCACCAAAGTTGTGTTATGGGCCACGAAAGTACCACACTGTTTTATTGCACTAAAACTCGAGAAACAGTAGCAAAATGTGACAAATCTAATGGACCACATCCTTCTAATTAGAAGGTCTATAATTATAGAGGTTCCGAAATATTGAAATACCTGAGGAAAAGCCGCAAAAGATATCATATTTTGCAGAGTCCTCCAACAGCTCAGATAACACCACCAGCACTCAACAAGTTTCTGCATCTCCATCAGTCTTATACACTTCAATCAACACACCAGAACTGCAGCAGCAGAAGCAACCAAAACAATCAGCGCCAGCGCCAATTCAGATACAGAGACATAAAGGACAGAGATTTGCAGGTATGAGTAGGAGTATTACCCAACCTGCACCTTCGACTGAAACTGCCTTAGGTGTGATAATAAATATGATTATCGGACTAAATAATAAGGTGTATAAAAAAATGACCGTTTTTTTAACCAAATATTTGATTATTATTTCTTTGATATAAAATACAATTAATACTCTAAGTATAGTCCATTGTTATCTACCATCATTAGCCATCTGCTCGATCCCATACTGATACCATTAGTTGGTATGGCTGTCAAAGAACTCTTGGATCGCAATTTCAACTTCCGCAAAATTATCAAATTTTTTTCCTTGAAGAACATGGACCATGGATCTAAATAAGTAGTAATCCGATGGTGCAAGGTCTAGACTGTATGATGGATAAGGATGGAATCTCATATCAGAAGGGTTTTTCAATACATTTTCACAAATCTCTAACCTCTTAGCTGATTGCTGAGGAGTAAGTTCGTGAGGGACCAGTCTACTACTCTTTTTCACCTTCCCCATGGAAAGTAGATGGCAACTAACAGAATATTTCGACATCCCTGGCAAGTTGGCGAGTACTCGTGGACAGATTTGACTCAACAGCTTCCTGCAAAACCTCATCAATGTCCATTAATGGTTACCCGGAGCCCTTCTTGCTTTACAACGTCATATCTCCACTGCTAAATTTATCAAAACAATGCCGTGCAGTGCATTGGTCAAGGACACCTTTCCTTCCAAATTTAATAATTTAATGAGTGAGTTGCTTCAGCAGTTGTGAAATTTTTTTTTCAGCAATGCCTTACAATTACAAAAAATTCGGGGGACACTGTCATGTTTCTTCTTTGAAACAAATAACTAAACTGAGGCTTTTTTTGAAGAAGTCGAATGGGGTTAAACAAGTTTAGAGAATGCTCTAAAGGAATTATCAAGTATTGTAAATATTTAACAGGATTAAAATATTTACAATCCTTTGAAATCTTGAATTTGATAAAAACGGTCATTTTTTTTTATACATCCTATTAATCTCATAAAGCCCTTCTTCGGTCTTTCACAACTATTTCAGGCTACCATCACCCTAAGCCAATAGTATGACCCATAACCAAATGACTGTGGGATCCATGTCCGTCATACTATGGACTGAATCAACACAGGACCGAAGTAGACACTTACACAAGAAACGTATTGACATTCCAATAATAACAGAAAATCATCTGACACCACATTCTAAATTTCACATCCATGGATATAAAATCTACAAAACTGCATTGCCATACTTGTCAAAATAACACTAAAACATAATTCTTTACAATTACTCATAACAGCCGAGATACAAGCAACAGCCATTACACTATTAAAACATTACTCTTTTGTTTATTACAGTACTCTCGGCAGTTTATTGCCCCCCTAGGTATGTCTTGACACCCACAATGTTTAGTAATTTCTTCAAACGTCTTGCTTTGTTGTAGGAGGCGACTATAACGCTAAAGATCAGTCTTGGGAATCTTGACTATCTACTCCAAGCGAAAGAAATCTTATGTATGCCCTCTACGAGCTTTCATTCGACACAATCTCACCACATTCACCCACTTCCTAGCCAACCTCAAGATGAAAAAAAAAAAGATTTATTGATTTTTTTTTTATAACTAACAAATGACCTCGAACAACACCTGAAGCCATAAGTACGAACTCATATCATTTTCTTGTGAATCCGGTATTATTTGACGAGCCTTGCGAAGATACAAAAACAACATCGTTGACAACGAGTCTTTTCACTCTTTCTGTTCCTTTATCCATTAACAAAGAGGAAGAACTTGAGGATGCCGTAGAATACTTTACACAAATAATAAGTTTAATATGTTGAATTAAACCTCATGTTAATTAATATAGACTTGAAGCTCATTAAACAAGGAAGTTTTTTTGAAAGTGGGGTATCATAATATATCCCAAGTCAAGGAAAAAATAAATTACAGTTTTAAAATGATCTATTGTAATCAGTTTTGTTGAAAACACGGGTACATTTAGGTGACAGAATATCTATACATGAATATTTATACATCTTGAGGTGAATCTCAAGTTATGTCGAATTAAACCTCATCTTAATTAATATGGACTTGAAGCTCATTAAACAAGGAAGTTTTTTTGAAAGTGGGGTATCTATAGTATAATTGGAGAGTCATAAAAAAAAATCACGAATAATTCAAATTTTTCTAAAAAAAAGGACTTAGCTTAGTTAAGCTGCTCAAGACTTCACTTTAAATGGTTTTAACAATGACAAATTATACTTCCAATTGAAGCCAAGTTGGACTAATTTACAACTAAGCAAATTATTTACTTCAATTAAATACTGTTTTAGTGATCGGTTCATATTTAACGAAAAACCTTACTTACTTACTGCTGGGCGCTACAGTCCTACAAGGACCTGGGTCTCCTCAAGGACTCCAAGCCAGTCACACCTGTCTCTCACTCGCCTCCTCCATCTTCTTACTCTGAGCAACTTGAGGTCCTCCTCAACGTCACCCAACCATTGCATTCTTGACCTTCCTCTGTATTGCTTCTATCCAATTTTTCCATATAGCAGGCATCTTAGAATTCTAATCTCTGGCATCCTTTACACGGATCCGAGCTATCTCAGGCGGGCTTTTTTCACAAATGATTCCAGGTCTGGTTTGCCGTACATTGCACGGAGCTCGTAATTGTTTCTTAACCGCTACGTGCCATTTTCTCTTATTGACCCATATATCCACCAGAGTATTCTTTCCCAGACATTGAGTTTCCTTTTACTTTCACTGTTCAATACCCAGGATTCACTGCCATACGTAACTATGGGTCTCAGTATGGTTTCATAAATCATAAGTTTTGCTTTTTCAGAAAGAGCTTTAAACTTTAATCATATTGAATATTTAATAGTTTACCATATTTAGAAGATGGTCCGGGGTTGCAGTCATAAATAGGCTATATAGTGGTAAAACTATTTTATTAAAAGCCAACCTTTCGACCCGACTTCAGAAGGAGAAGGAGAAGGAGAAGGAGGAAATATATAAGAAGGAGAAGGAGGAAATATATAAAAAATGCATTCCGTACCTGAAAGAGAAATATAGAGAAGAATTTAGGGAGAAAAATTTTTGGTACAAGGGCTTTGGTTTGGAAATAGAGGAGCAATTCCGCTTTCAATTGCTAGTTATTTGGGAAAGCTAGGAGTTGAATGTTATAAGATACAAAGTATGGCGGAGTCCATTATTTTGGACTCATTGGGACTTCTGTATCATCTATTAAATTAGGTCATTGCTTTATGGATCCAGGTGACAGAATTGAGAAGAATGAGGATGAGAAAAGAAAGGAAACAACAAATGACATTTGTGCAACACACCACTTACACTGAAACACATTGTAACAACTTGCAGACTATACTCTGACACCAGAACAAAACATAATATACCTTCCAACATATCTGACGCACTTTCAGATGACGAAGAAAAGATACAAAAAGCATTTGAATTTATAAAAGACATTAAATTTATACACCTAATTTGATTACATCTAAAGCCGCTAATGACCCGCTCGGGTAGATGCGGAATGTAACAATAAATAAATAAATAAAACAAATGACATTTTCATATACATAGTATATTGAGCTGAAATGTTAGATATTATCAACCAGATAGATTAGTATAATGTGTCAGTTAGCAACTCAACAAAGTTGAGCAACATTACAATTTTATTGTAGTTCTCTCTTATTAAAAATAAAGAATACTTTTTGTTTATTTTTTATGTTTATAAACAAGTAATAGAACACCTAACTAAAACAGAACAGAAATATTCCTATTCATTTTTGAGCAGTTTACATTAATTGAATAATTTGGTCTTAACATTTTTTAAATGGTTCTAAAAAATAAATTAAACATTTTACCAAGCCTTTCATCATTTTGTTCAGTGGAAAACACCAATGATAAAGCATGTGCCAATTCATCAGGGAAAAAATGGTGTGCACGTATATTATGAACTTTCAATGGGTCACGAATGTACTTAAGTAAATAACTTTCACAGAGAAACACTGTCCTTTCCGCAGTATCAATAAGTAGATCATAGACTTCATCCATTTCTCTGTCTCTATGAGCTATACATAACGCATCAAAAGGCAAATTCATAACAAATTTATAATGTTTTTCTTTTTCATTTTTGTCCAAAATTTGAGGATCTGAAAAATACAAAAAAAAAAACAGTTAATGTTTTGAAAACATCAATAAAATAATTACAGCCATAGTTTTATTTTAATATACATACATATGTGTGTGTGTGTGTGTGTGTGTGTGTGTGTGTGTGTGTGTGTGTGTGTGTGTGTACATATATATATTTTATATATATATATATTTTTTTTTTATCCTTATCTTTATTGAGACTTTTATACAATACTAAAATAGAAGAGGTAATGATCATAGCATATGACCTGAATTACTCACAATTTTCATTACTACTGCTATTATAATTTAACCTATAATTAGTTAATTAGATAAACAAACAAACCAAAAGCAGCACTAGCTGTTCTGTAGCGAAACAAGAAAGAAACGCTTTGCCTTGGTTTTGTCTGGTCCTTAGGCAAGCTGACATCACATTCTACCTCATTCATCAAAAACCATACATCACTACAGCTATGGACTACCCTTAACAGGATTCCTGAAATTCACATTAGGCACCTCAGACCTCTCAATCCAAACCTAAAACCTCAGCCTCAACCTCCATGTCAGCTAATCCCTCATCATCTACTCTCCCTCCTCCCCCCGAAGGGCCACACTCCCTCCAGAGCACCCACAACCAGTTCCATCCCATCCTAATCTTCTGATAAACTCCCATCACAAGTACCTTTGAAATTAGATCCAACTCTTCATCCCCAACGACAGGCTCAATCCCCTGCCAACAACCCTGGTATCATAAATTATCCATCACAATCTCCTGATCCAAATTCACTTCACAACCAAAAACCATCCAACATCAATTCAATCATATTATCTTTCCCACCTCACTAGACAGCTTAACAAAATCCCATTTAATTTTCTTCAATGAACATGAAGCACCTAGCTACCCTTTTATGGAATGCTAAGAAACTACATAACTACTCGGTAAACGAGAAATATTTCTCAAGGAAAATCACATTGATATTGCTCTCCTCACAAAAACTCACTTCACTCAACATTCGATCTTTTACATATGTGACTACACCACTTACAGATCAGACCACCCAGACATCACTTCCCACGATGGCTCTTGCATCTTTATCAATAGATCCTTATCCTATTCCGTGATTCTTTCCTCTCCAACTGATGCCATTCAATCAAACTCGGTAATCACTTCAACTTGCCCTTATCATCTAACATTCTTAGGTGAATACATGCCCTCCTGCTAATTCCTTATCGTATAACCTTCTTGGTTCATTATTCAAATCCCTCACATTTTATTGCTGGAGCACCTAAACCTTCCCCTTCGAAATATATTCAAATCTTATAAAGGTACAAGACAGAGCTAGATCGAAATGGCACAGGACTAGGTATCCTACAGATTAAACTTACTATACCAAATTGACTAACAAACTAAAAGTGGAAATCAGAAAATTCAAAAATTCCTAAACCTAAATGAATATCTTACAACTACTGACAAATCACTATGGACGGCCAGTCTGTGTTTGGAATTAGGAGAGAAAGGATGTCGCTCTGCCAGCCCAAGACATCTAACAGATAAGAAACAAATTCTTTTATTTCATTTTTCTTTTCTATAATTATTCTTTTTTAATATATACTTATTATTTTTCTCTCTCTCTTTCTTTTTCTCTTTTCTCTTCTTTGTATTTGAATATATCATTTTATTTTTATTTTTTTCTTAGCATATATTATTTCTATGGGGGATCCGATAGATCTTAAAAGACCCAAGGCAAAGAGAAAACGACCTCGTGATCGAATTTAATTATTATCGGAAGATAATATAACTCCTTCAAAAATCATTCCAACATTCCTCATTATAGAAAAGGCCCATGAACATGACCTTCAGCAGGTTTCACCATTTTTTATAAACAAATTTTTACAAAAAACTTTTACAATGTAATAACTTTGGTGGTCAATTTTCAATCCAGAAGTCTCCGCACAACACTTTAAACTTTAGCAGAGGAGTAATTAGGTATTATGACCTACAAAATCTTGAAATTGAAGAAATAAAAAACAAACTCTCACACCAAATAAATGATATAATTCATATAAAAAAAAAATTTTAAAATGGTAATGAAATTCTAACTAACTCATATATAATTACATTCTCAACACCAAAAACGCCAGAAATAATAAAAATATGATACCACACAGTTAAAGTCCAACAATACATTCTTAATCCGATGCGTTGTTTTGGCTGCTTATCATTTGGACACCCTACAAACCAGTGTAAACAACAAAGTAAATATATACAATGTGGAGAGGCAAGACACGCCGATAACACTAAATGCACTTTTACCCCGCAGTGTGCCAATTGCGGAAATTGACACGTAAGTCTGTCCAGGGATTGCCCTATTTTTAAAATATAAAAAGAGATACAAACAATACAAACCATCCCACTTCCCTTCGTATCTCAGAGCCTCTGCGATTAAGATCGAGGAGCCGAACACGACACATTCCCCCTCTACGCGACAAATCCAAAGACCCCGGCCCATCTCATGGGACTGACGTCACTGCTTTGGATATCGAAGATCCTGACCATAAATCGGATATCAATCCAGAAGGAGAATTTATTATGGTAAACAATAAAAAACAGGGCAACCGTAAATCTAAAAAAATTATGATTCAACAAATATTCATAAACTAAATTCATGCACTAACATACGTATAAATATTATTCAAATTAATAATCTCCATTTAATTAAAACTGCACAATACTATATATTCACAATTAAAAACAATATTAATAGTCATATATACCAACCTATAAACATCTACCTACTATTACCTCTGCTTATCTATAATACGCCTAGCATTGCTTCAGATATTACAATAAATATTTATAAAACGGTTACATCTAAAACTATTAATAACAATCCTAATTTATTATTAATATATCAAATCAAAAAAATGTACTATCGTTCTCTATTTATTTTTTTATTACATCTACAGTTCTTAATTATTACTTTCTCCACTGTTCCCTCTTTTAGAAACATATGCTATATACAATTATTTTTTTTTGCCCATATGCTTTTATATAAGAATCCAAATTGCTTCTTTAAATATCAAATTATGTTCAATAGAATATTACACACTATTTTATATCAAAATAACTGCATGTTTCCCTCCGATGTTCTATGGTTAGGGGTGGTTAAATTTATAAATAAAACGTACTCTATTATTGTTTATTTATTCATCCATTCATTTTTTTTTATTATGTGAATTTTTATTTTTATTTATTTATTTATACGAGGGCATATTTGTATGCTTATATGCTTATGTATTGTGTAAGTATGTGAGTATGCATGACCACCATAAGAGTATATATGCCTATTTGTATGAGTGTATTTGTATGCATGTATATATATATATATATAATTGTGTAGGTACTTACGATCCTATGTTTATCTATAATACCATAATTCTCGCCATTACCATTAAGATCTATGAAATCACAAACAACGATCCTAGCTTATTATTATTTCTAGACCAATACAAAAATATGTACTATTTACTTTTTTATTACCTCTTCAGCCTCTACTTTCTACTATCTCAAATATTTCTTCTTTTAGAAACTTATATTACATAAAAATTTGTTTTTTTTATCCTTATACGCACATATAAGAATTCTATGCACATTACAAATCAAATTAATTTCAATATAATATTACAAATTACTTTCCATCACGATAGCTCTATTTATTCTCCCAAAGATCTATTATATGTCTCAAGTTCCGGAATACAAATAAATAACAGATGCTCTATTTCTGTCTATATATTTATCCACTTATTTTTTATTTATTTTTTTTATGTGAAAGTATCTACATGCACGAATGTGTGTTTTAATCCCTACTTGTTATATATTATTGTGTGTATATCTGTGTATGCGAATATTAATTTCTGTGCGGATATATATGTTTATGTATATAGTTCTGCATGCTTTCTTTGGTATGTACTGTAATATACAACTTTATTGGAAATGCGTAAAAATGTTTTAATAAATTAATGTTGAACAATTAAAAGGCAAGCTAATCTAGTTCTACTAGTGCAGGGAAAAGAAAATGGCATCTCTGTAGTTCACCAAGAAGGAAAATCCCGAAGAGGAGAGGGACAAAGGTTTTTGTTTTGACTAGCAGTTGTGTGGCTGCAGTGAAGAGAGGATAAGAGAAGGGATCCTGGCTCCAGTGGGTAAAACCCTGTAATAGTATTACCATTTTGGAAGTTGTGTTTGGCCGAACATTGGAAAGCATTTGAAGACAAATGAATTTAGTGCAACAAAGGAAGAAACAGTGTATATAGAAAAAAGGTTAGCTTGCCAATCCATATTTGATTTTATTTTAAAATTAGTGTTTAAATTTAGTATAAATAGTGTAAATAATAATTGTTTGTCTGAGTTGATCTGATTGTCGTGACCTAATTTAAAAAAAATAAGGCCATGCATAGTTGAGCGCCAAAATGTAACATCTCTCTTATATTTTACAAATAATAATAATGGAACCTCGGAAGCTCACTTCTTACCATTGGGATACTTCCTAAATAAATAAGAGGTTGTTTAATAATAAACAAAATTATAAGAGAATTAATATATTTATTTATCTCAGGTGTGGGTTACTTACAATCAGATCAACTCAGACAAACTATTATTATTTACACTATTTATAGTAAATTTAAACACTGATTTTAAAATAAAGTCAGGTACTTTTTGTCTAGCGGGCCTCTACTGACTGCTATCTGCCAATGTTTATAACCTGAACACTGATAACTCTCATAACGCAGTGATAAGCCTTCTCCTACTTCATATCTTCGTATTATTATATTAAATTCGTATTATTGAAAGTGTAAACAGATACAAAAACAAATGTAATAATAAAAAAAATACTTTTATTTGACGCCACATATATTAATGAAATAATAAAAAAACACTTTAAGAAGATATGTACATATAAAAAATCAAAATGAAATAATAAAAAAACACATTTAAAAGAACATAATTACATAGAAAAGA